CCACATGTGCGAGGGGGAACTCAGGAGCGTATGGTCGCCGGGGACATCACTTGAGTTGATGTTGGACGTTGCTACTTCAGCGCAAGGGACCAACCTCAGTGTAGCGATGGTGACATCTTCTAGAGTATCAAGTAGCGCTGTCTTGAGATGGGTTATAGGAATGTCAACGTTCCACATGAACGATTGTTTGGATGACGGAGAGCTGCGAAGGAGCTGAAGATATGCACGGGGTGAAAGCCAGACTAGGAATGACAGTGAAGGAGTAACGAGGAAGGGTAGGGGAAGTGCGTGTTGTGTGAGGAGTTTGTCGAGAGTTTGAGTCTGTGGTGAACTGTGTATATCGTGCGTCAGGGGCAAGCAAGCGGGGCAAAGGAATAAACGTACGCGACCTGCTTTCTAATGTGATCTGAGATTGCAGTTGGTTCCATGAACCAATGAAGTCCTTTCTCATTTTCAGTGGCCGCAAGCCCATCGAGCATCATGAGATACCGCAAGTGCTCTTGTATTGCACGACTACGGCGTCCAGCTTCAATTGCGGGATCCTCTTTTGAGTGTCTGAACGCCATATCTATACCAGCAGCGCGTCTTGCTGCATTGATCCAGCGTGTCACTTCCCGCGCGAGAAAGGCATCTAGTTCTGGTGCTGCTGACGAGTTCCCGGTACTATTTGTATTATTGGCGAAGGACGTCTTGACAGCGACATGATCATTAACATCAATATCAAGCACAAGTACTTTGCCTGCGAGGACAGTTGTTGACCCGTCTACGAAAACTTCCATGCCAAGATTGCGGCCCCATTCCGCGATCTTCGCAGGATGGGGAGGACTTGTGTCTGGATAGATTGCTCTGCTGTCTCCTCGCAGCAGAGACGAGAGGGAAGTAAAGGCAGCAGCTGACTGGTTGATCGAAGATGTCAAAGCGGTATGCTCCTTCATGAGGGCCACGAGCTTGGTGGCATTTTCGCCAAGTGGCAGGTCATTAAGTTGGTTCAGTGCATGATTTAGGTGGTGAGTTGTATTGATGACTGCACCAAGTTGCGCAGTTACTGTGGTATATTCAGTGCTGAGGGGGTGAGCGGACTCAGTCACTTGGACAGGCAACGAGGACTGCACAAGCACATCGTGTACGGCGCTCAGTAAAGATGGATGGGACATGCAAGCTTCTTCAAGTCCAACTTCATCTGGTCAGAAGAGGGATAACGGAAGTTACCGACAACACGAGTTTGAGTGACGGCCTCTGAAGTTCCAAGTTCTCTCTCAACGACGCACGTAGTCAGAAGGAATGAATGTCTTCTATCAGTCTATCTGTCTGGCTAGGGGAGACTAAATCAGGTTGGTTTCACATTCATTCCTGTCAGTGACGCCTTCCTCAAACCTTACTTTGTGGGTGCCAGGCTGTCTGCGGAACAGGAAGGCATCTCTATAGAGTTTCCTTGACCCACGATCATAATAGACCGTAGATCCCTTTGAATGCCTAGTAAGGTGGTGACTAGTACATGCCGAGGCCACGATGCAGCTCCAGGGGTCTCTGGAGGCCCATACTTGTAAAAAAAACTCGTTGTACGAGTGGTTCTTGATGCTATCGCTCTAACCAATGTCCATCATCGAAACGATACAAGAAACTTGGACTTCATGTTCCATCACGACATTATTTCGTGTAGGCTCCATAGCCGCTACTCTCATGTCTTCTCTTGAATGCGAATCTCCGATTGCGGGTTCTAGCTGGTGTCTGGTTATTCGCAAACGACCGCCCAAGAACTTGAAGAAGAAGCATACTAAGAATGATACCCATCTATCCTTCATTCACCTTAATTGTCCCGGTGCATGGTGCGGTACACCGGTCAACGTCACGATCTCTTTTCCGTCACATCCTAAGAATCCATCCCTCTGCACCACATCTATCGCCGTGGTCCTAGATGGGAATGGTTTTAGGGAATTCCCGCTTATCAGTTGTCTCGCTGACGACCTTGGACACGTTCTCGTATCGCTGGAGGTCACATTTACCAATCCACTGACGTACGATATATTCGATGTGCTTCGGCGCGTGGGGCGCGTACCAGACGCATCTGCCACTGCGGGTGCTGCAGAGACCAGAGTGCCCCATGCCTGCTCTGCCCTTCGTGCGCTCGAACAATCACTCAAGACAGGGACATCGTTTGACATCATATTCCAAGTTTACACTCGTCGCTTGTCTCCCGGAAAGGTCACAAGGCCGATTCCGATTTATGCAAGCACCGCTGTGCTGCAAACCGCAACACTTTTACCAGACTTTTGTACGTTTTACCGTATTTCTTCCTCGTGGCTGCTGAGCTCCGTTGGCAGCCGAAGAAGATCTTGATTTTTCGGACCTCTTTGAAATGTCTGAAGGCGACACTCTCCCTTTCACCTCCACGGAGAGTTACGAGTACGAATCTGATAGTGATCTGGACGACGACGACAATTTGGCCACTGGTGATGAAGCTTCAGCATGTCATGACGAGCGATCTCACACCCCAGTAGACAATGCTGAATCACACGAAGGTTTGTCTTTTTATTTCCAGTATCGAAGATCTTTTTGCTCCATTGATCATCATCACACAGAAGTGAATGATACTGGTTCCAGCATTGACGGTACGGAAACTTAAAACTTAATTCGTATGTCGGATTGACATTGTGAACCCTACACCCGGACTTCAAGAGCAGCCGGGAAATCGAACACTGCTTGTGGAAGGTGTTGAGATAGTACCGGCAGTGACTGACGAGAACCTGAAACGTGGATCTCGAGTCGTCCTCGTAAAAGGCGTCGCCTGGAGGACGTAGGTGTGATGTTTTGTGTCACAGAAGCATCACTGAATCGAGGTGCAGGTGGCACGCCTTCATTTATTATTGTTACACTGGCATTGTCAACTTTGCAAACTTGCGATCTCAAGGTACACTGGAGGCGGCGCATCAGCAGAGTCGCTTAAAAGATGGACCGCCACATTGCTCCCCGAAATCGATTTATTGACTGGCTCGGAAGGTAACTTCATGAAGCTTTCCTGATGTATGTGTATGAAATTCAAAATTACAGCTTCACAATGAACCATTGTCTCAACTTGCTTTAAAGGCCATCGAAATTAGGTTGTCCACGGCCAATATACTGGATGAGGCATTCTCCAAATTCACTTCCAGGTATTGATGATTTTGCCATACCCATGACTACTGCTGACGCCCACCCAAAGACATGATGCTGTCAGAGAAATGCAAGTTGCCCTGCTGGTGAAACACAGAAATGCGTCAGAGGTTCTGCAGGGTCTCCCAACTAAAATCGAAGCCATGGGCATGGGCAATGCGCCCCACGCTGTACCGGTTCTCACTACGTACTGCCAGCAAATTGCCCAGATATTTAACTCTAGTCACCAAAACGGACCTAAACCCGAATCCAAACCCCCCCATACCCAAATCCAAAGTCGATCATCGCCCAAGTCTGTTATAATTCCATGCGCAGACGTGCGGCACGAACGGCGGACCCCCGCACTACCAACCTACTATGACGTCTACTACTACTGACGGCTTACTTGACTTGAATTACACATGCGGGTTCAACCTATTCGCCGTGTATTACTATTTGTGACGGTTTTCGAATTGCTACTTGTTCCGTGATTGTTCCTCCGGCGTCTGACAACTCTCAGGACCTTCCATATACGAGATCACTCAGAATACTCTGGTGCCTACGCATCCTCCTTTTATCTTGAACCATGCAGAGGGTATCCGATTCAATTACATCGATCTTTCAGTTGGAGACCAAGGAGGAACACCTTGCCGCCTGCCTGCAAGGGGTTCAACCATAGTCTACAGTGAGAAGTTTGGACTGGAACGTTTTGGGCTGCAGTACGCAAAAGACAGCTGGGCTATTGCTAAAGCGAAGGTTCAATGAGATATCGCAAGTGCTTTTGTATTGCAGGATCCTCTTTTGACTGTCAGAAAGTCATATCTATACTAGTAGCGCGTCTTGTTGCATCGATCCAGCGCGTCACTTTCCGTGCGAGAGAAAGACATCTAGCTCTGGTGCTGATGAGTTCCCGGTACTATTTGCATTATTGGTGAAGGACGTCTTGACAGCGACATGATCGTTGACATCAATATCAAGCAGAAGCACTTTGCCCGCAAGGACAGTTGTCGACCCGTCTACGAAAACCTCCATGCCAAGATTGCGGCCCAATTCCGCGATCTGCGCAGGATGGGGAGGATTCGTGTCTGGATAGATTGCTCTGCTGTCTCCTCGCAGCAGAGACAAGAGGGAAGTAAAAGCAGCAGCTGCTGGTTGATTGAAGATGTCAAAGCAGTATGCTCAAGTATGCTCCTTCATGAGGGCCACGAGCTTGGTGGCATTTTCGCAAAGGGGCAGGTCATTAAGCTGGTTCAGCGCATGATTTAGGTGGTGAGTTGTATTGATGACTGCATGGTCGAGTCGCGCAGTTACTGTGGTATATTCAGTGCTGAGAGGGTGAGCGAACGAGTCAGTCACTTGGACAGGCAACGCAAAGTCCGGACTGCACGAGCACATCGTGCACGGCGCTCAGTAAAGATGGATGGGACATGCACTGGCTTCTTCAACTTCATCTGATCAGAAGAGGGATAACGAAAGTTGCCGAGTTCGCACAATATTGGTCTCGAGACTCTACGTAGTACAGTGTTACTACTAGTCAGAAGGAAGCTTCAAGCTTCATGACTCTCTTCCTTCGTCTAGTATTAGTCTGCCTAGAGGAGACTGAATCAAGTTGGTTTCACCTTTATTCCTGTCAGTGACGCCTTCCTCAAACCTTCCTTTGTGGGGGCCAGTCTACCTGCGGAATAGGAAGCATTTGATCTATAGCGTTTCCTTGACCCACGATCATAATGGACCATAGATCCCTTTGAATACCTAGTTAGGTGATGACTACAGGCCGAGGCCACGATGCAGCTATTGGGGTCTTCTGATGCGTGCAGTACTTATAACCTCGTGTATGAGTGGTCCCAGCTCCTAGTAGAGTGCTCTATCCAATGTCCATCATCGAAAAGCTGGAAGAAACTTGGACTTCAGGTTCCATCACGACGTTGTTTCGTTTACTAGGTTCCGTGACCGCTATTTCCACGTCCCTTCCACTTCAATCTCCCGTTGCTGGTTTTAGCTGGCGCCTGATTGTCAAGAGGTCCCAGATACCACCGGTGTTGCAGTCACCGGTGTATGGGGCACAAAACCCATTTGGGAACCAACCATCTGGGAACCAGGCATCAGCGGGGTGCCAGCTATTGTTCGACTCCCATAATTGTCCCGGTGCATGGCGTGGTACACCGGTCAACGTCACGGTCTCTTTTCCATCGCATCCTGGTGATACATCCCTCTGCACCACATCTATCTCAGCGATCCTGGGAGGTGGCAATATCCATACGGAAGGTTCTCTTCTGCTGATCACTTGTCCCGTTGACAAGCTTGGAGACGCTCTCGTCTCACTAAAGGTCACCTTCACCAATCCACTGACACGCAATTTATTCGATGTGCTTGCCCACGTCGGCCCAATACCAGATGTACCCACCAGCGCTGAAGAACCCAGAGTCCCTCAGGCCTGCTCTGCCCTTCGTGCCCTCGACCAATCTTTCAAGACAGGGACGTCATTTGACATTATATTCCAAGCATACACTCGTCGCTTTTCCCCCGGAAAGGTCACCAGACCGATTCCGATTTATGCAAGCATCGCTGTGCTACAAACGACAACACTTTTACCAGACTTTTGTACGTTCCATTCTTATTTCTTCTTCATGACGGCTGAGCTCCGTTGGCAGCCGAGGAAGGCCAAGATTTTTCGTCTCTCTTTGAACTGTCTGACGGCGACACATTCCCATTCACTTCACCGGAGAGTTACGAATACGAATCTGATAGTGATCTGGACGACGACGAGGGCAATGATTTGACTGTGGTGCAACCTATAGTGGATTCGGCCCCTAGTGACGAAGCCCCTGGACGTCATGGTCAGCGATCTCACACTCCAAATAAAAATGATCCATCATACGAAGGTTTGTTGGTTTATTTTCAGTGACAAAACTTTCATCCTCATGATCATCATCCCACAGGCGCGACTGATAGTGGCTCGATCTCGTCTTTCTCCAGCATTGAAGGTACTGAAGCTTGAAAATTCATGTGCACGTTAGATTGACGTTGTCAACCTTACAGCTGGACTCCAAGAGGAGCCAGACAATAGGACATTGCTTTCGGAGGATATTGAGACGGTACCGGCGGCGACCAACGAGAACGTGAAACGTGGGTCTCGAGTTGTCCTCATAAAAGGTGTCGCCTGGAGGACGTAAGTGGGATGTTATGTGTCACAGAAGCATCACTGAATCGAGGTGCAGGTGGCACACCTTTATTTATTACTGTTACACCGGCATCGTCAACTTTGCAAACTTACGGTCTCAAGGTGTTGATGTGGCACTCCAGCAGAGTCGGTTAACACATGGTCCACCACATTGCTCCCCGAAGTCGATGTACCAACTGGCCACGAAGGTAACTTCATAAAACTTACGTTGATGCATTAATATTAACTCGAATTACAGCTTCGCAATGAACCGTTATCTCAACTTTCGTTAACGGCCATTGAAACTAGGTTGTCTGCGGCCAACATACTAGATGAGGCATTCTCCAAATTCACCTCCAGGTATTGATGATCTTGTCACACTTCTCGTTGTCACTTACTCCCACCCAAAGGCATGATGCCATCAGAGAAATGGAAATTGCTCAACTGGTAAAACACAGGAATGCGTCAGAGGTCCTGCAGAGTCTCCCAACTAAAATAATGGCCATGGCCATGGGCAATACGCCCCACGCTGCGCCGGTTTTCACTACGTACTGCCAGCAAATTACCCAGATATCTAACTCCAATAACCAAAACAAACCTAATCCCGAATCCAATAACCAAACAGACCTGATCCCGAATCCAACAAACCTAATCCCGAATCCAAAACCCCCGCACTCAAACGGAAAGTCACCCGAACCGCGCGGTAATTCCATGCGCAGACGTGCGGCACGAACGACAGATCCCCGTACTACCAATCTACTATAACATTTACTGCTACTGATGGCTTATTTGACGAACTACGCATGTTGTTGAGCTCGGGTTCAACCTATTTTCCATGTATCACTATCGTTGACGACTTTCGAATTGCTACTTATTCCGTGATTGTTGCTCTGGCATCTGACTCAAGACCTTCCAGATACGAGACCACTCAATGCTCTTGCGCCTACGCATCCTCCTTTTATCTTCAACTGCAGAATCCTCTTTTAACTGTCCGAAAACAATATCTATACCAGCAGCGCGTCTTGCTGCATTGATCCAGCGTGTCGCTTTCCGCGCGAGAGAAAGACGTCTGACTCTGGTGCTGACGAGTTCTCGGTACTATTTGTATTATTGGCGAAGGACGTTTTGACGGCGACATGATCGTTGGCATCGATATCAAGGACAAATCTATTGTCCTTTGAGGTCGAAGAGCCTATGTCGGACATAGCCCCTCACGCGGAGGGCTTACTCCCGCTTAGTCTATCGTAGATGTATGTACTTCCGTGTATGAGTGGTTTTGTCGTAACGCGTACTCTGTCAGCATATTGTCGGGCAAAGGCCGATAATAAGTACTTTGCCTGCGAGGACAGTTGTCGACCCGTCTACGAAAAATTCTATGCCAAGATTGCGGCTCCATTCCACGATCTTCGCAGGATGGGGAGGACTTGTGTCTGGATAGATTGTTCTGTTGTCTCCTCGCAGCAGAGACGAGAGAGAGGCGAAGGCAGCAGCTGACTGGTTGATCGAAGATATCAAAGCGGTATGCTCCTTCATGAGGGCCACGAGCTTGGTGGCATTTCCGCCAAGGGGAAGGTCATGAAGTTGGTTCAGTGCACGATGTAGGTGGTGAGTTGTAGTGATGACTGCATCGAGTTGCGCAGTTACTGTGGTATATTCAGCGCTGAGAGGGCGAGCGGACTCAGTCACTTGGACAGGTAACGCGGAATGCATGAGCACATCGTGCACGGCGCTCAGCAAAGATGGGTGGGACATAAAGATCTATGCAGCTTCAAGATCTGGTGAGAAGAGGGGTGACGGAAGTCACTACCGATCGAATCTGATCAAAAACAATCCTCCATAATGATACAACACGAGTGCTGCCTCTTCTCTGTTAGTCTCGACACTGGATGAACACGGGACGAGGTTAAGAAGAGGAACATGGATCAGGTCACACATATCAGGTCACACATGTCACGGTTTCCGCTGAAAAAGGTCACACACAGCTGGGGACAGGTGGTACGCAATAAAGCCGCAACAGATATCATACTTCATATACTGTCACTTCATCAAGTGTTGTACTTGTAGGTCATATCGTCCTGTGTTCTTCATGCCTTGTCATACTAAGGTTGTCAATATTATGAACTATATTTTCCCGATGAACTTGTCTAGTTGCAATGCGTTCGAAGACTGTGTATATATATCAGACATGTACAACATGATAGTGATCCCTGCGCACACTAGTGCGCATCAAGATGCATGACCGCGTAGTTATAGGTACGTACAGCATTGATTCTGTGCCATTGGTTTGTTTTGCATCCATGAATTCAAGCCAACTCATCAGCAAAACTGACGAAAGTTGGCCAAGTCACTGCCGCATTCTGGACCGGATGCAATTGGGAGTATCGACTGTTCCTTGGGATTGCCGTGACTCTGGCGCCTATGCATCCTCCTCTTATCTTCATC